AGGAGTGTGATGAGTGGTCAACAGGCAGAGTGTGGTCCAGCTCTGATGAGACAGATAAGAGAACATGGGAGGTCCACTAGTGAAGTGTAGCTCCATGGTATGAGTGCATAGATAACAGCCGCTCCAGCGGAGAATTCTGGGAGGTGTTAGAAGGGTACAAATTCAACACTTGGTAGCTACATGGTCTGAGGGTTCGACTCCCGAGCATGTATGCTTTCAACAGGCGTAGTTCTAGCTGTGCTTCCATGTAGTGAGGAGATGCGCGACGTGTCCAGAGGTCGAAGGGTTATCGCACAGAACTTGCGGTTCGAAGGTGTAGTACCCTTCATGATCCTCATGATTTATGGTTTGGTATTCGTATAATAGCCTCGTATTGGGAGGTACCGTAAGCAAACTGTGAGAAGCTCTGATCATCGATGGAAGGATTGCCTCTCCATCATCGAGTGCGGGGATTGGAGTATCCGCTTCGTTGGGTACGTCGAGGGAGGTCCACTGGTGCCGTCGTATTGCCATGAGAGTTTTGTGTTGTTGCTGTCATCGGATTCATAGAGAGAATATACGAATGGTTGCCAATCAGGTCAATCTCTGGCTCGCTGAACAACATTCGTGGGAGTAGGACTCGTGGAGAGAGCGATCAACCTCGTGAACTCGTACCTCGCGTGTAGAGCTATTGGTCGACTGTTGATAGGACGGACGTGATATCACCGGCGAAGGAGCGTTGGCGTTGAATGCGTTTGTTGCACGCGAGTGCAATAGGTCGGTGTCCGTCTTGTTGGTACTTGGTTTGGTGCAGAGACACTTCTAGGTTGCCTGCTCGTGGCGTGGTGCGCCCATGTCGAGAAGGTCGAGAGAGTGACTTGAGCGGACGGGCGTGATTGCCAGAGATGTGGTGACTACGTCGAAAGCTAGGTCAGCCGTTTGTAGTCCAAGGAATGTCTTTTCTTCCGCTGCTCTGGAGATATTATCCATGCCTGCTTGATCCAACTTGGGACACCCCAACGACCGCCATGTGTTGCGTTCAACATGACCTTTGCGTGGACCACGAGTGTCTGTCTGATGAGCTTGCAATAGTACTTCCACCCGGTGTATCCATATCATGGTACTGAATGCCTCATAGGTCGCCACAGGTTTGTCGCTGTACCATCGTCGAAAGAATTCGTGTTGGTAGGTGCGAAGACGGGCGTTGCTTCGAGAGCGTTGGACGTCGCAAGATTTGATTGTCATGGGAGTTGTGCCTGCTCGAGAAGGGCCGCTCGGTATTGCTCGAGAGTATACTGGGAGGTGTGCGCCTGCAGCTTTCATAGTCATGCATTGCGAGACGTCGTACGGGAGCGAGTATTGGTGCCTTGGGGATTGAGCGTTCCAAGAAACGTGCCACCTGTTGTTCATGTATGGCTCGATCGCTGAACTCATTGTACTGCCGAAATTGTTCGGGAAGTGGGGATGAAACCAGCTTGAGACTCTCTCCATTACACCTCTGCGATATCGGCGGTAGGTGAGATAACACGAAATCTTATCCGAGAGCAGGGTTGCGACCGATGGACTTTGAGTAATATTCGTCAATTTGCTTTCCAGATCGCTCGATGTGTCCTGCTGGTTTCGTTGGCAAGGACGACAGATCTTGCCTGGTGCTTCTTGGAAGATGTATTCGATAGGTCTTGTAAGTCCATTCTCGATTTTCGTCCTAGTTCGACGTTGGATGACCGTGAAGTCAAATCAATGAGGTGGAGAGAGGCCTTGAGACTTGAGCTGTGTGAGGAAAGTTCTTCATCCATTTTGATGAAGACTGATTACTCGCGAAACTCTCTGAATCTGAGCGGACGGGCTTATGTTCGTGTCCCAAAGTGCGATTGCACTTCCCCATCGGTCATCGTGGAATCGCTGCATCTCATTTGTTGCCATGGGAAATGATCGCCAGTGTGGCTGGAAGAGTCCAACCTGAAAGCGTCGAGTGCTCGGCCGTCAGTGTTACGACGCGAATGGGTGCCTCTCTTGGACGACCAATGGTGAAACATCTGTATCGCCGCGAACAGTAGTTTCTTCTGTGAGAGGTACTGGTCTTGCATTGACGTTGGTGTCGTTGGAAGATTGGAGATCCATAACTTCAACTTTGGTGAGAAGTAGGAAATCCATCCATCCTGCCCGATGTCCTATTGTTCAGAGCACGTGACAGGGAGAGCGGATGCGCCATGGAGTGAGATGCAGTGTACCTGGTGCTGGGGGCGTGGAGCGATCAGTGCGCGACGCATAGGGGTGCAACTTCAGGGACATAGCTTGACTTTGCTCGTTCATCGAGCCATCGTGATGAATGTTGGCAGTGCGTAACTGCTACTGTTAATCTGCTAACGTGGGAAATACTACTTGAATAGAGGATCTTGTAGAGGTAGCGACCGCCCGACGAGATCAACTGCAACTATTCAAGACGAGTGCAAGGTAAAATGCAAAGTTCGCTTCTTAGTAATTCTTAATCTGTGTTGTGAGCTTGATTGATGCGATCAGTAAAACTAGCTTGTAGCGTGTTATATGATGACAAGATTACACCGCTTCGCGCGAGTTACGGTGAGTCAACCCTGTGGTACTGCACGGAAACGTTCTGCGAGTATCTTGAGGCGTCCTCGCTCGAATAGCGCACCACGGATATACCGAGGTGTAGACCCTTGTTGTGGCTTAGCAGGGAAACGGCGATGTTCTTGCCAGGCGGTCCTGTGTCGTCCATCTGTGATGTGACGCCATCATAGAAAAGCGGATCGTACGAACTCAATTCCTAGGACACAGCGAGCTGCGAGAGTATACTCGCTGTGAAGAGGGCGTCTAGGGAGGAATTTAATCGGCTTTCAAGTGCGGCATCCGCGGAGGGAATGTCGTTCGGGTGCAATTGGGGTTGTGCCAGGTGACAAGGAATCTCAACGCAGCGCGTCTAGGGGAGCAGCAAAGGCGCTTGTGTGCTCGGCAGGCGGGTCATAGCTCCGTGAACAGAGTTGGTCGCCCAGAGGGCAAGGCCTGATATTTTGTATGAAGAGGATCGATCTTGAAAATGCGGCGAAAACAATAAATGAGCTGTCCAGCGGCCCAGGGATGAGAAGAGCGAAAAAAGGGGCATGCGTGACCGGACCCGACCTGGGACGGTCGGCGAGGAGAGATGGCTGCGTGTGAGTAGACCAAGTCCATGGGGAATAAGTGAGAAGAGAAAGAATCATGTTATAGCTATGCTCAGGCGAGACGTTGGCTGGACCCTTTCGCAGGAACGGGGAAAGCTGGTCGCTGTAAGTTGTGAAGACGAAGAGAAGATACGGAAAGGGATCCGTCGGTGAGGTCATCATTGTTGTCTATCATGGAGGCTGGGCGGAATGACATGTTCTGGATGGCTTGAGTGATATTGAGCGAGTCACACAGAAAAGGGGGTTTCCACGGCAGATGTCCCTGAGTTCGGCGTGTCGAGCGCCTTCGCCGGCTTGCGTTTAAGCCACGTTGAGAGGCCTTTGACTGGGTGGATGTCTTGCAGCTCGTTTCTAACACCGGGGGAACACCGTCGAGCGAAGCCGGCGTCTGATTCTATTCGCGCAAGAAAACCTGCAAAGTCCCAGCGCTGAGGGAAAGCGTCCTGGAACGAGGTGTGGAGGATCTAGCGATATGCACTGAAAAGCACTGGTCATGTTATGTGCGGGAGCAACAGGCGTCGAGAGAAGCGAGGCGTCGCGGAAGTAATGTGGCTGTGAAGAAACTTGCTATTTGAACAACATCTCGAGTAGGGGCGGCGGGGGTCGCCATGAGTTTGTGGGAAAAGAAATATTGGACGGCTTCCGATTTAGCTTCGGTTGTGAGAGCTGTGGACTGGGAGTGAAGTTGGGAGAAAGCCAGGAAAGCGGGTGGATCGGTGGAATTGTTTGTCGACCGAGGAAGCGGATGGCATCAAACGCGAGCCGCTGGGATGGCCCAGGTGTGAGTTGTGGAAAGCTGTTCAACGCCTCTCGAGCACTTGCGCCGAGTCGCCACAAGAATGGGTAGCGCCCCGGAAGGACCGTACCCGACAGTTGGCTGCGGACGGAGGCTCAGGTCTGTGAGAGAACAAATCAACCATGCTTGCGGTTCATCTTGAAAATCTGAATGCGTTGCGAGGGGCCGGCAGCTTTCGAACATATTTGAGAATTGTCCGGAGGCCAGAGATTCGCTGGGATCCGCATGGTAGAACCAAAATCGAGGTTTGTACGCTGATTGGGCGAAAGCGGAGGAAGGTTGATGATTCCTGAGGAGAAATGTAGCTCGAGCAGGGATTGGATGGAGGTCTCCTGGAGGAGCCAGATAACTCTCCGCATGAGCGGAAGCAGGAAGGCGGAAGGAACGCCAAGGAGCGACGACAGACGCGTGGAGGAATAATGGTGACTATGACCATGGCGTTACGGAAATAAGTGGGGCCCAATGAAAGAAATTTTTAGAGGTGGAGTGACCACTTTAGTGTCGGAGACGTAAAGCAAAAGAATGTAGGTGTTCCAGATGAGAGGGCAAGCCCAAGCGGCAGGACGGCTAAGAAGGCGGGGCGCGCTGGGCGAGCTACTTGAGGGCAGTCACCAGTGCTGCACTGCGAGGAGCACCGCTAAGAGCTAAGCCCAGAGATGGTGTGATATTGACCATTCATAGACGGTGAAGAATTAAGACTGAAAGGAGGCAATGGGAGTGTTTGAAAGGCTGATGCCTGAAGATCGATATGTTGACGAAAAAGGTCGGAAGCTGAGGCTGCTGACCCAGCAGCAGCTGCACATGACGTCTCCAGGGTCATCCGGATAATGTTACCATGTTGAAAAGTAACATGCTCGGGAGTCGAACCCTCAGACCATGTCAGCTACCAAGTGTGAATTTTACCCTTCTAACACATCATAACTCCATCATTGCGCAGTTTCCAGCCCTTTTCAATGGCCTTCATGATGCTAAAAAGATTGGTGTATAGTTCTGGGACATACTGGTAGTCTTCCAGAACCCCTTCAGTGGTGGAGCCATCTTGCTGTTGAAACACCACAGGCAAATTCCCAATTTTGGTTGCAGTCATATACTTGCCATCTCCTATCTTGATGGGCTGCTTCACCTCCTGAACATTGGTCATTCCAGCATCTGTACCACCCATGTGTGTTGAAGCTCCACTGTCTCCAAGCCAGGTGTGCTCATTCATCTCATAGTTGCCTGCCATCATCGCCAAAGCTGAATCATAGATTCCTTCTTCAATCTCAGCCACAGCTGTGTCCTCATCAATGGTTTCTTCAGTGAAGACATCCTCAAAATAGCTGCCATCATCACTAGACTCAGATGAGTCATCATAGTAAGACCTTGCAGGACGAGGTACCAATGATGGGACAGACTCCTCCACTGAAGAGTCAGATGGTTGTCTCGCTAAAAGTCCAGGAAGAGAGCCTTCAGAGGAACTGTTATCTCTGGGCATCAAGTCTGGACAGTCATCCTCACTCTCTTCATCATCACTTGTTGTGTAGAAAGATTCTTCATCACTGGCAGTCACAAATGATGCATCATCATCATCCAAGTCAAATTGACACAACACAGTACCAGCAGTGTCTCCAATAGCCACATCTCCAAGAGTTTCCCACTCCACAGTTGGCTCAACACATTCCTCTTCTTCAATTGTTGACTCTTCATCACCAGTCAAGAGCATGCGAAATGGATTATCATCTGTTGGTTTTGTTTCCACTGTCTCAGTGGTAGTGATGAACTTCACTTTGCTTGGACACTCTGGGATCAACTTCCACTCATCTTCACAGTCACATGGCCTTTCCCACTTAATGGAGGAAACTCCACTATCAGCAGACACATTGCCAGTCAGGCTCAAAGCATCTCCCACCACTGCAGATTGGACAGCATCGCCATGGGCATCAAGCTCAGTGAAGGTGGTCACAGGGAGAGCCTTGGAGTCCAGGAGTTCATCCATTACATCCATGGCTGTGAAGGTGCAGTCCACAAGTGAATTGTCATCCTCCTTAGCAGGAACCTGCCCTGGAGGGGAGCCAGCCACAGAAATGATTCGGGAATCATCGTCCTCTGCACCAAACTGCTCAAAGTTGTGGAACATAGCATCATCCAAATCCAAATCAACAAGGATCCCACTGTCCTCTGAATCCACAGACTCCTCAGCATCAGATGCCAACACATAACTATCACAGCGGTCACTCTCACTGTTGCTATCATTGCAAAGATAGCAATGGGACAAATCCATAGTGTTCAGCACAACATCATATGTAGAGGCGGCATTGCCAGAGTCGGGTTTGCCATGCAATTGATAACATTCGCTCTTCCGATGGCCAATCTTGCCACAATGGTGACATTTGCCTTGAAAGCGCTTGGAAGTGCCACCAGTGCTATGGCTGCCACCACCACCACCACCACCACCACCACCACCATTGGAACCACCAAATTTCTTCTTCTTGTTGGGACAGAGCTTAGCCGGATGGCCCCACTCTCCACATTTAAAACACTTCTTCTTGAATTGCTTGCCACCACCATTGCTTGCAGTAAGGCCAGTCTCACCACCGCTAGATGATCCCTTAGCAACTGCTTTATCAGGGTACAGCTGCAGGAACAAGCGCTTCATTTCCTTGCGCATCTCATCCACCTTAAGGGCAGCCGGAGCAACTTTCAACTGCTTTTCATAATCAACCTTCAGATGATAGTATGGTCCAACCACACCTTCCTTGGGACTGTTTGGAAGCTTGCTCAAGAGATCACGCTTGAACTTGGTATCATCAGCAATGGAGGTATCACCCAAAAGGGTCAACTTTGCCCTCTTGATCTCCATCTCCAGAATAAAATCTTCTGGGTCTTCATCCAGTGCCATCTTCCTATCATAGTACTTGGTTTGCTCAGCCGTCAAGTCTGGGATATCCTTTGACTCATACTTATCCAACAGCTTCTCCCAAGCACTCTGGAAATGGCCATACTTGTACCCAGAGGATTCATCCATTGTTGTCTTCACCAAGTAGAAAGCCAACTTCCCCTTGGTCTTGCTTGTATCAAAGGCGCGGATCAAAACAGAGAAAGCCTCAGCATTGGCAGTCCTCATCTTCTGTTTCATCTTCTTATCAGCCTTCACGGGATCACTATCCCCAGTCAAAATCTTCAAGTCATCAGCATCCTTTGGGATCGGGTCAGTATAATGCAACACCTTGGTTAGCTTCTTGGTGCCCAACACTGACAGGAACTGGGTGCTCCACACATCCCACTCATCATCTTCTCCATTGAACCTGGAGAGGGTACCCAATGAGGTAGTCTTTTCATCCTCATCATCCGACATGGTTGTTGTTGTTAGTAGTCAGTATCCCACTGAACTCACGCTTCGCACGTCACACAACCACAAAGATTCTCAGATCCACTCGAGCCACACAGCTTCCCGTAATAGACAGAACTCCTCTCGAGCCACTACCACGCAGACAGCTTGCAGGCTTACTCAGTCACACTTCCGAAAGATCTTGCGGCGTCAGCTTCCCAGCTGTATCTTTTCCTGGAAGAAGGTTCCCACGGCACCTCACCTACCCTCAACAAGAAGGCTTCACAATGACGCCGTTACCACAAAGCCAAAGCGGTTTACGGCAACCGATGCTGATGCTGTTGTTATTATGATCGATCGATCTACCACAGAGCTACTCAGGTTCAGCGTTAGCTAACGCTAATTAGCGTGTTGTTGAATCCTGTCGCTCTGATATTGTGAGTCTATTTTGTTTGTTTATCTCTACAAGCTACCTCTCTCAGACTTGCATCTACTTGACTGAAAGATACAAACGTGCACAGACTTGAGTGAGCCTGCATGGCACAACACTCCTGCGACAATGATGACTTTGACCAAGGAAAGGGTTACCATCAAGTTTGATCGCATCTTCAAGACTTCCAAAGGTTTGCTAGGAGCTGTCCATGCTGTACCTAAGGCAGAGATAGCTGGTGTCTCTTTGGAGGAAGGAAAGACTGTGGACATCAACAAGCTTCATCGGATTCTAGGTCATGCTACTGAGGAAACCATTCGAGAAACTGCCAAGTTCTACAAGTGGAAGCTGATTGGAAAGTTCACTGCTTGTGATGCCTGTCGCATTGCCAATGCAAGGCAGAAGGATGTGGCCAAGACTACCAACACCAAGAGTACAGTTCCTGGAGAACGTCTGATGTTTGACATCTCCTCTGTCAGTGCTAAGAGCTATGGAGGCAACAAGTACTGGGGCATTGTGGTGGATGACTGTACAGACAAGGTGTGGACGGTGCTGCTCAAGAAGAAGTCAGATCTTGGGAGCAAGTTGGTCACCCTAATCAAGACTTTGAAGGGTCTAGGTATGGATGTCAAATATCTTCGGTGTGACAATGCTGGAGAGAACCAAGCTTTGGAGAAACTCTGTGTTGAGGAAGGATTGAACATTCAGTTTGAGTACACACCAAGTGATTCCCCGCAGTACAATGGCAAGCCAGAACGCAAGTTTGCTACCCTGTGGAGTCGAGTCCGTGGTATGTTGAATGCTGCCAAGCTGGATAAGGCAACTCGACATGGAGTGTGGGCCGAAGCTGCAAAGTTTGCAACAGAAGTTGAAGACATGTTGGTTCCCAGAAGAAAGGCTGAGCTTGGTCCATCCTACACCCAGTTCTACAAGGAGGAATGGAAGGGTATCCCCCACTTGCATCAGTTTGGAGAGATGGCTGTGGTCAAGAATGCTTCCAAGATGCAGAGCAAGCTGGCTAACAGGGGTACTGTGATGATGTATGTGGGTCGTGCTGCTAACCATGCCAAGGATGTGCATCGTTTCTTGAATCTCCGGACCAGGAAGGTGGTGATTACGAGAGATGTCCGTTGGCTGAACCAAGTGTATGGAGAGTGGAAGGGTCTTGTCCCACCTCGTACTGAAGACATTGCAGTTACTGTCCCGGTCAATGGCAAGGTAGAGGCTGAAGAAGACGAGCCAGAACCCAAGCAACCGGCACAGCAACCAGTCCAACAGCCAGCAGCAGAACCTGCAGCCCAGCCCCCAGTTGACCCCAAGCTTGCTAGGGAAATGAAGAAGCTAGTTACTTGGGATACTACCTTGGATCCATCCTCTATTTCCAACCTACGTTCAACCAGACAAGCTACACGTCAACACCAGCAGCAACACGCTGGAAGGGTGGATGATGGTGCAGATCATCAATCAGGAAGGGAAGAGTCAGCTGATGAGCAAGCAACATTGGCTATGCTGACTATGATTGATAGATTTGGTGAGGATTTCTCCTTGTGCCCTGACTTTGCTTTTGCTGCTTCCACTTTAACTGAGGAGCAGATGGAAGAGTTGAAGCCAGAGCAGTACAAGGATGCATTTGAGAACCCCCAAACATTTGATGCTGCATGGAACCATCCTAGTCCATTCCAACGCAAGAGGTGGAGAGATGCAATTGAGCTAGAGCTGAAGCGAATGGATCAGATGAAGGTATGGAAGAAAGTCAAGCGTTCCACTATTCCAACAGGTCGTCGCTGTGTGAAACACAAATGGGTCATGGAAGTTAAAAGGTCGGGGCGATTTCGAGCACGACTAGTGGCCTGTGGGTACAGTCAAGTCGGTGGCCTGGATTTTCAGCAAGTTTACTCTCCTGTGGTGAATGATGTGACTTTTCGTATCTGGTTGGTTTGTTTGTTGATCTGGCAACTAGACAGTGTTGTGTTTGATGTTGATGTTGCATTTCTACATGGTGATCTGAATGAGACCATCTACATGGAAGTCCCTGAAGGAGTTGAAGCAGAGGAAGATGAATGTGTTTTATTGTTGAAGACCATTTATGGATTAGTACAAAGTGCACGAATGTATGGAGTCAAGTTCAAGGAGATTCTGAAGAAGATTGGCTTTATGCAGTGTCCCTCTGATCCTTGCTTGTTCTATAGGAAGAATGATCTTGGGATTGTGATTCTGGTCAGCTATGTGGATGACAATGCATGTGCTGGACACAAGGCTGCAATTGATCAGTTGCTGGAACAGTTGAATGAGCATGGGCTCAGTCATACCAAGGAGTCTCTGACAGACTACTTGAGCTGTGAGGTGGCTTTCAACCATGATAGGAGCAAAGCCTGGGTTGGACAACCACACATGGTGAAGAAGATTGCAAAGGTCTTTGGTGAAGAAGTAGCTAAACTTCAAGTATATGCTACTGCTGGCACTCCTGGTCAAGGTTTGGTGCGTCCCAAAGATGAGTCAGAGATGCTCCCTGAAGAACAGCAAACAAGGTACCGAAGTGGAGTAGGCATGTTGCTGTATCTCTTGAAGACCAGACCTGATGTGGGCAATGCTATCCGTGAATTGACTAAGTGTTTGATTGGGGCAACTCCTGCGACATATTAGCGTGTTGTTGAATCCTGTCGCTCTGATATTGTGAGTCTACTTTGTTTGTTTATCTCTACAAGCTACCTCTCTCAGACTTGCATCTACTTGACTGAAAGATACAAACGTGCACAGACTTGAGTGAGCCTGCATGGCACAACACTCCTGCGACACGCGCTGGTTACAAACACTTCTGCAGGCTTCAAACGTGAGAAAGACAGATCTCGACAACGAACACAGCCTCTCAAACAAACAAGAGAGATGGGCATCGGCATACTTGGCAAGCTTACAAGGCCATCCCGCAGATGCCTCACCGCTCGGATACTAGTTGATTGCCTACCTACCACTTCTGTTTGCTTGAATCTGTTTTCCTCTCTTCCCACAAAACCAAATCGATCATACTTTTTGGAAAGCAGCCAAAGACCATTACACACCATGAGCACTCCACAGAAACCAGAAGACTTGACCAAGGAGTTCCTGGCACAGGCCCTGGAGAAAGAATACGGAGAAGAGGACGCCCTCTCAGTGAAGTCGTTCCAAGCCAAGGATGCCGAAGTGGGAGTTTTGTCTCATGTTGTCTTTATCGACGTCCACGACGACGTCCACGACGACGTCCACGACGACGTCCACGCCGTCAATCAGCAGAAGCAAACGATCCAAAAGTTTGTGGCCAAATTCCTCAAACCCCAATTTCCTTTACAGCACATGTTCAAAGTCGAATCGCATTTCTATCGACACGTCCGACCCAAAATCACTTCGTTCCAAGTGCCACGCCCAATTCACACCTCCAATTCCATGATTATGGTCGAGTACGTTGCCGCCGACCATTCGTACACGGTCGTAGAGGCATGTCCCTCGGACCGAGTGGTCCCCGTGGTCACTCGATTGGGTCAAATGCATGCTCAGTTTTTGGATTACCAAGACAACCAATTGGCGTGTCCTGCAGGGATTGGCAGTTCTGCCACGGGAATGATGAAAGAGACGCAATTCCCAGACATGTGGCAGGAGTTTTTGCAAAGCATCGCCCCAACAATCAATGACAAGGCCGTGGTGGACCGTGTCTCGGAGATTTGCCGCGACTTGAGCACGCGACGTTTGTCACTGATTCACGACGACATCTACAATCATCCCCTGCAAACACTGATTCATGGAGACTTTCATGTCGCCAACATGTTGTTTGACGATAAGGACAACACGGTGTGGCTCTTCGACTGGGCGGCCTGTGGACGAGGCCATCCACTCGTTGATTTGGCCTTTTTTGCCATTGTCAGTCTCGATATACCCGTGCGCAAGGCCAAGGAAGAAGAAATGCTACAAGCCTACCACAATGCACTTGCCGCCGAAACAATTTCCTTGGACGATTGTCGGCAACTCTATCGATCCTGTCTGTTGAATCAGTTCTTGATTCTCGTCGTGTACGATCACATGGCACGGGGGTTGGCCCAACAAGCCAAGAAACCAGAGGAGCTGACACATCACTTTAACGTGGTGAATGCTCGTGCTTGTCACGCCTTGGTGGATAACTTTGATCATGACTTGTTGCCCCGTCTCAAAACCAAAGAGGAAGCAGCCGTGAAAGCCGAGGAGGGAGATGTAGGGTTGTAGATGGCAAAGTGCAGTGAAGTGTCGGGAAGCACTGGTACGGTAGCAATAATTCAAGAGCTGGGCGTGAGAAGGAGGCGCCTTTCGCGTCAAAAACCTACTTGCTACTAGTTAGCTAGTACTTTACTTGTGCTGATGTGGCTTGCTTCCTTTATATTCCTCAGTTCGCCCGCCACAGGAGTCGTGAAGCTCCAGCTAATTAGTCTTCGGGCTACTCTTCCATACTCAACGAGTCCCGAAGTTTGGCATGAGCATTCTTAAAAATGATCTTGCGCGCTGCACCCTTGAACTTTGAATTCTTTTCCTCTGATGTATGTTCGGTCAACATGCCCTTCCAATCTTTGGTCACTTGGGTCTTGATGCCAAGTTCTCGGAGTACCTTGGAATTCTCAATCTTTTCGGCTTCCTTCTCCATCTCGCCCACTAGTTTCAAAAGCTCCTTTTGGGTTGCACTGCTGGAGACGGACGCATCTGCGATTCTGTTCTTGATAATGGCGAGACGCGTTGACACTGACAAGCCCGGATGCAAGCAAATGTCTTCCTTTTCAGCAGCGTCCATCTCGTGCTCTTCTTCCTCGTCTTCTTCCTCGTCGAGAGCTTCCGGACCAGCCGCTTGCTTGTTCCACAGTTTTGCGTAGATTGATCCTTCCTTTTGGAGCAGCTCATCGTGAGTACCGCTTTCTACGACCTTGCCCTTGTCGAACGCAACAATCTGGTCAGCATTCTTGATGGTACTCAACCTGTGACTGTAATGACGGATGAGAGAGGCAAAGGAAAGATTCTATGGTGCGTAGCAGTCGGATGCATCTAGGGCGTCCTACTTACGCGATCATCAAGGTTGTCCGGCCTTCCATGAGCCTGTCAAGCGCTGCTTGTACCTTTTCTTGGTTCTCCTCATCAAGACTAGGAAAGAAAGCAATGTGAGCGGTTCTCTGGAAGGTTCAAGGCTTGGTGATGAAAGACAAGCACCTTGTACTCACGCCGATGTTGCCTCGTCCAAGAGCTGGGAGAGGCAGCAGGGAAAAGCGCCCCGTTAGAGGCCAGCAATGTTAGTTGCTCTAAGCTCTCTTCTAGTTTACTGTTGCTATTGAGATACTACTGAAAAAGTGGGTTCCTTGGCTTTTTCTACTGGCATCAAATTCTAGTACAGAGGTACAGGTTGAATCCCTAATCGCGAATCCCCAACACACTCCTGTGGTCGTCGAGCTTGTCCTAGTCGTCGACCATGCTTACTTACTTTACTGCGCTTACGCTCCTTCTTTGAACGGACCTTCTTGTCCGCCGTGACCCTCCCTATGAGTGCCCTGGCTCTGAGTGTTCCACAACACCATCAACTTGTCCACGTTCTGTTTGAACAGTCGACTTGGTTCGGCTTCGTCCAGAAGTCCGCAACCATATCATCAGTTGGACACCAGTCCACACTGATCTCCTCTTTGCGACTCTGTCGCTCACAAAGAATACCTAATGTTGATGTGCTTCGTTCGTTTTACTACTAGAAGCTTTGCCGTTCTTCTCTAGAAGGAATGGCACTCTTGTTGTCCTGATAGACTATAGTTTCTTTAACTACATAGCCTTGCTCCCGAAGGAACTGCCTCGTCCAAAGGATCGATGGCATCAGGTCATCAACTGCTACGAGTTCCTCTCAGTTGAGCTTCTCGTGTTCAACTTCTGTTTCGTCGAAGTCGATAATGGGTACCGGTGCCCATGGTCAAACACCTCCGGTTGACCCCTAATGTTTGGATGGACTCCGAAGGAACCATCAACATACCATTTCAATATGCCACTTCCGTCGGCTTTGAGAACTAATGGTAGTTTTCTAGTACGCTAATGTACTGCATGGGGTGGACTAGTTTACCCAATCTGCCTATCTGGTTCCTTGACCTAGTCGTAAGGAACGATATCGCCGTACCTGTGTCTGGTCGGGTCTCTTCGTACGAATAACACTTTAGCCACCAGGCTGTGAAAGGTGTCTGCCTTGCTCGTTGGGAGCTTTCTTGCAGGATTCGTCTACTGTGAATAGGTCTTTCGGGCTGCACTACTTCTAGTTTTCGTGCCCCCTTCCTCTGGCGATGCCTCTCGAAGGCTTCCAGGATTCATCAACGTACTTGTACATTGATACGTTGCATTACCCTTCGTCGTGAAGTCTATGGTCATGCCAAGATACGTGTGGACCTTTCCTCGGCTCACCGTCATCTCCCAGTGCCGTCCTCGAATATGCTTTCGATTCATCACGAAGCACTTGGATCAGCTGGTCGTAACCTTCGAGTCCTTGTGGCTAGCTACAGTCGTCTACATGCCAGCAGACTTGTTTGTTGCTTGCCGTGCACATTCTGTTGGCTACACAGGGGTCGTAGGATTAATCTTAAATCCGTTCCGGACCATCGTCTTCCGGAACTTACGGAAGTATAGTAGGCTAGCTACCATAGTGCCTAGATGGCATTCAAGCATTGCAGATAGCAACTGCTTGTTGCCTTTCTTATCCGTTGTTACGAACGTTTGTAGACATCTGGGGCTATTTCACACAGCATGTCTACTATACTCCTCTTACTCTAATGATACCATGTCTTTTTCATCCTCGACTCTTGTCTGGATGAAGGCGTTTGGGATGTCAATTACTGCCACATCCCTTTCCTCTTCAGCGTCGATTATGCAGATAGTAGCACTGCTTCTGTCGACACTGTTGGCGAGCTTGCGTCTTCCTTGGAGATGAAGTCACGCTGTTGTTGCCTCCTGCAACCGCCCGGCCTTTGATCTTCCCGTTCCTTTTCAACTTTAGAACAGGTGTGACTCTAGGATACCCTTGCGTTCCATATCGCTGAGTTCTTCCATTTTCTTCGGACGGAAGGTATCCCTGAGATGTAACTGTTTCATCTCGGCAAAGGCTGCATCGTGCGCTTTGTCCTTCCACTCCTTGAGTCCAGCCTTCAATGACAACTGTGTCATGATGGCTGCTCCCACATCAGGTTCTTCTTCTACTGTGTGTAGAACATGTGTGCATCTGGTGCAAGACACGTTCATTGTATGGACGTTTGGCGTCTCATACTTCTTTCCATCAAAGCTGGGAATATACGATTCCTTTGCTGTGTCCTCACTCTACTAGACCTGCGCACTCCTGGCGTCTGCTTAGGTGCCGCTTGGGTTTCAACACCACTCCTGGGATCTGTTCCAGGGGCTGTTGGTCCGTAGTAGGTTCCGGTCCTCTACCGTTTCGACGATAGGTTGTGTAACCGGTTCCGTTTCGATTTTCGGTTCAACGATTTCATTGGTTCGTTGACTATCGATTCGGCGTCGTCGTTGACGTGTCCTGGGGATCGTCGGGACATCTTCCATTTCGTCAATGGTTTCAGCATCCGCGTCCAGTCCTCATCGTTTGGATCATTGGTAGTGGGGGTCGTCATTGCTTTCTTCCCCTCCACTCCTGTGATCTCGACATCACCAATGGGTCTATTTTTCGATCAGTAAAAACGAGTAGTTTGGTGATCTTTTCCTAATAGATGACTCTAGCTATCACTGTGTCGGGCATTGGATCTTGTCCCATGAATCCCGAGTAATTTTCTTGCCGGAGCGGAGGCTCATAAATTTGTAGCCTCCTTGCTTATTTCCGCTCGTTCCCATACAGATGGCCGCCTTTGTGCGTCCTACCATGCTGTTACGGGCGAGTCTTCTTCGTGCACCTGGCAGTAGTCTCCGAACTGCAGGCTCAGGTCTTTTTATAGTCCAGGGACTCTCCCATCATTATCATGCGGGGCTCATTGTCTCGCTGACCCCCGCCTTACTTGGAAAGTACGTCAACTGTTTGACGACTTGTAACACCAAGTTGACGGTTAATATTTTTGGCATGCGTGTAGAACGGTAGGCTATGCCGGACAGCTCGTGTCCTTTCCTGACTACCCGGATTCTACGTTCGATTCGGGTACGTGCTCGTTAGCACTGGCAACGTTCACTAGCCGGTCCACCGGCATTGCATGATTGTGTTGGACAGAGGCTCAAACTCATTGTCCACATGAATGTCGTGATCCTAAAACCACGAGCCTTGTAAAATGATAGACCTCCTTACTGCTCTAGGATGGTCTCTAGCTTCCTGTTGGGCAGGTGTCTAGATGTTGTAAAATCGATTTTACGGCTTGCGTTAACAGGAACGGAATACCTGCCACAAAGAAAATGTCCATCGTTAGGAACACATCCTTGTGTAATTGCAAAAAGTCTCTCGGCACTTTCATTGCATTGCCTGCCACTGCGTTTCGGTTTCGTACGAGTGGTCTTGCCTTTCAACGCATCAATATCCTTGCCCCATATAGCTTGTGAGTGCGATGTCTTGACGGTCACTGGGCAATTTGCGATTTGATTGCTCATAATCGCCCATCGAAAATCTTTAATCGATGGATAGACGAGTTGCTTATATAGCAGCTTCGCCCTTGATGCGGCTTTAACTTGTCGTTTGCTGAAGCCTTCTTTATTTTCGGCGACAGTATTCACAAGTGCCTTCCCTTTTTCCTAGGGTCATGAACGTGTAATCCTTCACTGTTCATTTCGTATACTACGTCCGGTAGGCCTGGTCTAATGACTGTGTAGGTTCCTTTCGGACAGTCATAGACGATGTTGCAATTCTTGCGGACATTCTTCACAGATAAGATGTTCGTGATTCCTCTTTCATCGAACCATACTCTCTGTTTGTGGCCAGCTAACTTGGCTGTATGCTGGACCTTCAGCTTGCCTCCGGTACTCTTCACTGTAATTGGACGATCGGCTTTCCTGATGTCGGTAACCATGTCTTTATTACAGAATAAATCCAACGTGGACTGGTTGTCCAGTAGCTGGACCTCTCTCATATCTATGTCGTCCAATCCTTTTGTGTGGGCGACTATGCCTTGCTTAGTCGTGGTTTCTTCTTCCGCTTCGTTCGTCCGCGAACAGCGGTAGTCGAACGTAACGAAACCTTTTTCGACTTTCTCTCATCTGACTGCGTGATGTCAGAGTCGGCATCATCCTGTTCTTCCTCCAGGGTTGTCAATGCTGTCGTCATTTTATCTTCAGTTTGCTGATAGTAGCTAAGGTTCTCCTTTGACGCTACTAGGGCTTTTCTTGCTCGAGTGTCTTGACTTGCTACGCTGCTTCGACTTCTCGACTGCTTGTTCATCGTCGTCTTTGTCTTTATCTTTGTCTTATCTTTGTCAGGACAGCGATGCTGGATGTCCTTATCGTGGCAGGAAAAGCATTCTTTCTCTTTCAGTATTCTTTATCATAGCTCGCGTTTCCGCGGCCTTTTCCTCTGCCACCACCCCGTCCTCTCCCGGCTTGTGCTGTCTGAGCAAAGGAGCTTCCGTGGGAAGTGGACTGTCGTGGGAGGTTACTCTTGGTGTGTTTTCCAAAAGGTGTAATACCTCATGTAACGTGTGGGGATATTATTCAGTTCCTTTGGCAAAGTCGTCCCTTCAGGTTCTGTTTAAGCTTGTGTTTTCGGCTGAACTAATTGTTAAGAAGATGTAACTATTAGTACCGTTCTTCAGCGTATTCCGAGACTTTCTTCTGGTTATCGGCTCCAGGTCAGCGTTTCTGTGACTGGGTGGAGATAGTTGGCCGTATGCAGCAGGGCTGCATCGTTTATCTTGGAAATACCCACGGACTTTGCAATGTCCCGTTTCTTGGTAAATTGCTCGTGGTATTCGGAAGCGGTAAGGCTCCCTTGGTGGAATTCAACAGTTGTTTTTTCAGTTGGAATAATGTGTGGTACACAAAATTATCATTGGTCTGGGCCATGATCGTCTTTTGGATCATTTTTCGTAGCTCCAGTGGGTCGCATCTTACAGGACGTCTTCAGTCCGTTTTCTGCTTCATCTTGTCCTTTAATTGTCGGGTGCACTGCCCTAGGATCAAGTTGAAAGCCTTGCCTCTATTTTCTTGTAGTTTTGCCAACCTCGTAAGGTGGGTCTTCATCAGCCCTGCG